GAACTCACTTTTAAAACTTCTTCGCTCGTCTCATTCTCCAGTTCATTGACGGTCTGGTCCCAGACACCTTTTAATCGCGCTTCATTCGCTGACCCTCTTGCTTGTCCCGATCGGCATCAGCTATGCTCGGTAAAAACCGAGCCTCTCAGGGGGTGGACCGAATGGGGCAAAAAGGAGCGCCTCAATTCTCCGGCTTCGAGCCATCGAAGAGGTCGCCCCCCAGGTGCCCCCGGCTTGGAGCCTCCACACTGAGGCTCACCTGGGGGTGCCACTTGAGGTGGCACCCCTCCAACACCCCAGGAGCGCGGAATGCCTCCCCTTTTCAGGAGAGAGCCTCCGCCATTGCTGAAGCCACAGACCGGAAGTCAATTCAGTTAGTGGATACTGTCTGTATCCCGGGGTTTGTTATTTTAGTTTGTTATTTCCCCCCCCCCCTTCCCTTTTTTCCCCTTTTGCCTTTTTTTCCTTTCTGTAGTCACGTAGGTGTAACAAAATTTAATAAAGCTACCCTGTCTTCAGGGGATTAAAAAAAAAAGAAAGAAATTTAAGGAGACATTCCCATGATAATAAAAAAGATGCACTTGTTCATTCAGAAGGTAAGATTAAAGAAGTAGCTTGGACAATTCTGCATTTCAAACAAACAGTTCTGCAATGTCAAATTCTTTAATTGAAAAATCAGAGCAATTTTTCTATTATTCCATCCAGCATGCTCTTGCCACCCTGGCAAGAGATTCCAGATGTAGGAAAGCCTGCTTTTGCACTACAGATAGTGGACCGGAACACAGTTTTGCATCATTTCCCCAAACTTTGCCTGTCTTGCTGTGGAATTTGTGTATTTTAAGCCTAAAAGTAGCCTAAGTGTCACTTTTTAAAAAAAGCATCAGAAAAAGAACGTACCCCACATACAGCCAAACTATATCCACAGAGCCATCTTCAAATTCCTGCACTGTATACTTACCTCGATTACCCTGATGTCCTCTGAGACACAGGCAAGCCTTTTGCATTTTCTGCACAGCAGCTTTTGACTGCCTGCCTTTGGCTTTTGTGGGGATTCTTTTTTCTTGGAATCTTGCTTCTGCTTTTGTTTCATTTGCAAGTCATTTATCTTTTAAAAAAAAAAAGAAGTGAAAGAAAACAAAACTCATTCAAGATACTTTTGGATTATACACTGTGGCACAGAACTACTTGAATGCAGGGAGGAAGGGATGGGCTGACATACGAACACAGAAATTAGTAGTGCACGAAAACTAGGAGCAAGCAGACTCATCCCATCTGCGTTTGAGCTTGTTACTTGCAGCTTGTTGACCACTGAACTACAGAGCCTCCCTTCGTGGGCCAATGGATGTTTAAAAAAAAAAAAGCTGAAAAGAGGATTCACCTTCTGTGCTAACGTGGCTTCATCCCACTTCTGCAGGTTCCCAATGGCTTTGTTCATCATCTTCTCCTTCAACATGTTGTTTTTCTCCGTCTCAGCCCGTTCGCTTTTGCTGGTCACAAGGATGCACTTGCTGTCTTTTGCCCTGCCACGGCCTACAGGTGGTAATGCACACACACAAAGAGGTTCAAATCATAGCAAAAGGGGAGGGATGCATCTGGCTGGCATTTGAATGATGGAACAGCCACCTTCAGAGTCGCAGCGACACAATGTTGCTTAATGCATAACTGTGAGCAGGGCTCTTTTTGTAGAAAAAGCCCAGCAGGAACTCAGCATAATAGGCCACACCCAACATCAGAAACCCATTAGCATATTAGGCCACACCCTGCCAGCACAGCTCATTAGCACATTAGGACGCACCCCCATGTTACCAGAAGTGTGGTCATCCAGCTACACCCACCTTTTGCTTGTTATTCTGTTTACCTTGTTTGTTGTCAAAGCCCAGGGCTTTTTTTGGTAGCAGGAACTCCTTTGCATGTTAGGCCACACACCCCTAGTGAAGCTAATCCTAATGAGTTTCTGCTGTTGGGTGTGGCCTATTATGCTAATGAGTTCCTCCTGGGCATGGCCAACTTGGGAGCCAGCCGGAACTCCGTTCCTGTGCGTTCCTGCCCAAAAATAGCCCTGACTGTGAGCATGACATTTTGAGAGAGGGGTGGTGAATTCTGCTTATTTACATTTTTTTCTATTTACGTATTTATAACCCACTTTTCTCCCCTGCGGGATCTCAGAGTGGCTAACAAACAGAGAGCTGGTGTGAATAGTGGTTAGAGATGTTGGACTAGGATCTGGAAGACCCAGGTTTGAATCCCTGCTCTGCCATGGGAGTTACCCTTGGTCCAGTCACCGTCTCCCAGCAGTGTGCATTTCACTGGGTCATTTGTGAAAGACTTATGGTTTAACTCTGGACTTCTGCCACCTTTTTCCTTTTGTGTCATGTCTAAGAGACTACAGCATTTTTACAACCCAGCATGTAGTAACATTTAAGTGAAAGGTATGCTTGTGTAAACAAGAAGAATGAATAACTAAAACCATAATGAAAAAAAGACAACAGAATCATTGTAGTAATTGTTCTGACCAATCTCCATGAACCTATTGGCAGAATGAAAGCATTTTTTTTTTACCAACACTGGCTTTCAGACAAGCACACATACACCAGACGTCTGGTAGCATAGGCACCACCTTAGTTGGAACCGCATGACTTCTGAGACTTACAGTCATGCTTTTACCACTGACCCCATGGAAACTCTTGGCCAGCCAACCTACCTCTGACTTGTATCATTTTGATGACATTGCCTGTGTATTCATACAAGAGGACAAGGTTGCATTGGGCAATATCAATCCCTTCATCAGCCACCGATGTAGCTATGAGCATCTTGCTGTCCCCATTACTTCTGAAGGAATCCAGGACGCCTTTTTGATTTGGAAGAGTCATACCTAAAATAGAGTCAACAGGAGATCATCTGGCATCTCAATAAAGCACTGGCCTCAGTCAGAATTTTAATTTAAATGTATTAATTTAAAATACTTATAAGCCTGCATGTTTTCCAACCCTTGAGACTCATGGTGCTAACCGTGAGGTTTAAAATCAGTAACAGCACATCTGAAACACCATCAATACAAAGCCAGCAGAGAGTCAAAACAGTCCTTTCCTTTTGTAGACCATTCCCTCCACCAAGAAGGACATAACCTTGCTTATGAGAGCACTGTCAGTCTCACGGACTTTCCCAAATGCCACCCAGGTCAGGGCATTCCTTGCACCAAGGATCTGCAGCCTGTGGTTCTACAGCCAAACCCGTTTCAATAGGGAACCAAATATGGTACCATAAAATGGAAAATGAAGTCTCTATGTTCAGGCATACTAGAGGAGTAGGTGGGATGCTAAAACAACTGGTATGTAAAAGGAATGGCAGGCAAAGACATTTATGGGAGCTTCTTAGAGAGTCTTTACAGAAATGGAAATGGCCGTGGTGAACAATTCCAAGTAATTCAAGTACAAATCATGCACAGATTTATGCCAGTGCATTAAAAAATAGATGATTCCCTCTGCGTATTGACTACTTTTTAAATAAGACCTCGTATGTGCCATTTCCTAGTAAACAACTTGGAACCACCACTGGTTGGGGCTTCCGAAACCTTATGGGTTATTAATCAACATGTCGGTAATCAGTAATGTAAAGCTGTATATTTGCAGTTATGCAAATGGCTCTTTTACACTGACTCTTTGCTGATCTTGAGCTCAACCATTAATTATAAAAAGCTGCTGACCCCCCACTTTACACTTTCAGGAGGGCAGTTTCAAAGCACAGGGTCTACGACAGAAATGGGCCGAAAGCCTGCTGTGGCTGTCTGCACCCTTGCACAGCAAGGGAAGTAGAGAAGAGTTACAATCACCTGCACGGGATGCTACTGACTGAATATGCGGGAGCAAAAACTCCAGCTTGCCGAGCAGCCCCCAATCCATTTATTTTGAAAGGGCAAATTTCTAGCTGCAAAGACACGGACAATGCCTGATGAGATTTTAGAAGCCAGAGGTTGACTGAGTGCTCCAGTGGCTTGGAGCGGGGCTTCGGCACCTGTCACAGTTGCTTCTCTCACACACAAAATATGCAGAACTATTCAAGGATATCAAGTAAATTGGCTCAATTTGCATAATTTAGAAGCATAGCTGAGTTGTGCTTTCCTGAGTACTGAATTCTGACATTTTTAGCACAGGGTATCTGCAGCCCTTCTCACAATTACCAGCCATGACAGCTCTCTAAAGTAATGCTCCCTGTTTGGAGGCTTGCAGGTAGGGTTGCCAAGTAAATTTTACTCACCGGCGGGGGAGGGCCGCGCTTCAGGAGCCGTCCCTCATCGTGCACGCGCCGCCAGCATGTCATCGGAAGTGATGCGTGCCGTTGATCACGTTAAGGGCATGGCCCTGATCGTCAGAGGGAAAACCATAGAGTTTTCCCTCCGACGATCAGGGCCATGCCCCCAACGTGATTGACGTGGTTGCGTCGACTATGGTGACGCAGCCACGCTGCGCTTCAGGGGGTGGAGTTCCCCCCGGGGCCCGATTCCACGGCGGCGGAAATCGGGCCTCCAAAGCGGGGGTTTACCCGCCACCCACCCCCACTTGGCAGCCCTACTTGCAGGCAAAATGATATATATATATATGTACAGAACAGAAGTTTATTATAACAATCATAGACCAGATAAAAATAGTTTTACACATTGCTAAGGATAAAATACAAATCTGCCTTAAATATCCTACTAAAATATACACTATTGAATATATCAATAAATTTGATATATCTCAATAAATTTGAGCTGAATATTTAAATTTATGACGATATATATGTAAATCCGTCTTGCAGAATACTCCAGAAATCTTGAGATCTTTGTGAGTGTATCCTCATGGATGTTTAAGCAAATACAAGAAAACATATGCCATATAATGTTATTGCTTTAGTTAAATAAAACAATTTAAATGGTTATTGTTAATGACTATTTTCTTCCTTCCAATAAAATACAGCAGAAAAGTTGTCTGAATACAAATGATTAACCTATTAAACCAGAGATAGTTCACCTTGCAATGATTTCATAATTATCACTGTTCATAATTCATAATTTCAAGTGGTAAATAACCAATCATTAATTTTCTGATACAACTAAAACTAATCCAAAAAATTATTATACTAAAATGAAATCTTCATCTGTGTTGTAAATACTGAGGCCAACAAGAATGAGCCTTTATGCAGAAAACCATAATTTAAATCGAATCTTACTAACTAGTGCTTTAAATCATGATTTAAATTTGATTTAAATCAAACCCACCATTTTTTAAAAAATGGAAATCGGTAAGCCCCTCCCTGAAACTGTACTGTAGTGAAGGACAACAGAATGGGAACTGTTAAGTGGAAGCAGTGAAGAAGAAAAGGTATATTGCAATCCAAGGCCCAAAACTCCACCCATGGAATACTGGGAACTTTTAAAAATATCAAATCATACCATAAACTGAAATTGTGTGATCAACAGCATGCATGTAGATTACCCAATCATACCCCCAGTTTCTACCCTTTCCATTTCATTGTGGATGAATCTTCAGTGGACGTTGTCGCAGCCTGATTGCCTGCTGGGAAAGTGTTGCATGGGAAAGGCACATTTGGATGCCATGAGAACACATTTTAATCCTCCTCAGCATCTCCAGTTAAAGGGGTCAAGTAGTAGATAATGCGAAAGGCCCTCACTTGAGACCCTGGAAAGCTGCTACCATTCACAGGAGACAAGACTGACTAGGCTAGACCAATGGTCTCACCCAGCAGAAGGCAGATTTAAAAAAAAATCCCAGCCACCGGGAAATCCTTTTGGCATTCAGTTTTTTTCAGCAGATATGATTCAAGCGTTTCACCTCCATAACAATAGGATCTAAAAACATGTTCTTCTAAAAATACATAAATAAATTATGTATAAACTACCCCATTCTATCCTTTATAACCAGATTCTTCACAGTGTAAATGAACATGCTGTTTTGCATATTTACAAATATCCTGAGGGTCATAATTAACCTTCCAACCTTTATAGCATTGACAAAACCTTCCGACCTGTGTTCTGATTTCTTTTCCCACGTCCCATCAGGACATCTGGCTTTAGGTGCCTGAGCTGAGGGCTTTCCTCTATCCAGTTCTTTAAGGCCTGTAAAAGTCATTCAGTTCCAGAATTTTTTGACAATAAAGTTTCAACTTCATGACAGAAAAAAGGCAAGACGGTTAATTAAGTTTAAAAACAAAACTACACTAAAAGAACAATAGCATTTCAGCCTTGTGTTTCCCCAACAAGCCTAACCTTCTGGCATCTGTAGCAACCTTAGCCAAGGGCAACTGAGTTTTGTGCCATATGCCCTATAGCTCCACAGAAAGTTTCATACTGTTTTATATCGCTGTTTGTAAACTGACCTGGAGACCAGGTATCGGATCCAAATTTAATTAGCAGTTCCCACATATGCTCTGCAGACTGCTCTTCCATGACATTCCTCATGGTCGTCCCCCCCCCCCAATCCCTAGAGGATAATGCATTTTGTAGTGATCACCCCTGACCTGAACAGCCCAGGCTACCCCGAGCTCATCAGATACAGGAAGCTAAGCAGGATTGGCCCTGGTTAGCACTTGGATGGGAGACCACCAAGGACATCCAGGGTTGCAATGCAGAGGCAGGCAATGGCAAACCGCCTCTGAACATCTCTTGCCTTGAAAACCCCACGGGGTCACCGTAAGTCAGCTGTGACTTGCTGGCTCTGGTTTTTGGGCAAAACTCTATGGTTTGAGGGGGATTTTACCCAGGGGTCATTTAGTAGAAAAAGAGCTAGGGGAACTAATTAGCATAACTCATTAGCAAATGCCACACCCCCTGACATCACCAGACGTGTGTCATAAGGCCACACACCCCGCCCCCAACGGTCCTGGCCGCCGCCGGCGGCCTTGCAGCTCCACTGCCGAGCCCCATGAGGGGGCCCGAGCCCCATGAGGCCCTCCCTGGCCCCAGGCAGGCAGGGGTGGGGAGAGGCAGGGAGGAAGCAACTTACCCTCCCTCTTCTCCTGCCTCCTCCTGGCTGAATGAGGGCCGGAAGCAGGGGGCGGGGCTTCATCATGTGCCCCGCCCCCCGTACCTCACCCGGGGGAACTGCGATCTCCCGCGATCCCCCCTGAAATGACCTCTGATTTTACCGTAGACTTTTACCCAAAACCCAGAATGCCGCCCCTGACATGCCTACATCACTTGAGGGTTCCTGCCACTTCCTACTTCCTGCAGCAACCCCCTACGGCATATCCCACACTGATTTTGTAAGTCCTCTTGAACCTCAGGAACATCTTCTAGGTGAGGGCACAAAACAGGGAGGGGACAAAGATCCAGTCAATAAGCAGAGTTTTCCTTGCCGTTGTCTGGACATTTTAAATTACTTCTTGTAAGGTGCTATGAGGGCAGTGTTGGCCTAGAAGCCACATTAATACAAAATTTAAACTAAAGCAGGAGAGAAACAATAGACATGATTTAAAAATGAACCACCCCATCTAGGCTGTTAGGGGAAAGTGTCTTACTGCTGCCAATGCTCTTGTCTTAACAAAGAGAATGGAACGAGTTTGGGGTTTGAGACGATATTCTTCCTCCAAGATGAAAGTGATCTCTTCCAGTTTGGGATTGTCGTTGGATTCGTCTTGAGAAATTGCATTCATCTCTGGCAGTTTATCTGGGTAAAAGAATTTATTGGGGGGGGGGGGAGAGAGGGAAACCAAGAGAGATGGAATTAGCAGCACACATTTAATTTTTTATTTATAAAGGTGTATCTCAAAAAAGGGGGGAGAAGCCTACATGAACAGAAATATTTTCTCTTGGGGCGTGAAAACCAGTCGTCAGCGAGAGGGAGTTCCACAAACAGGGGCCCTACCACTGAGAAGATGCTGTCCCTGTCCTCAGCTCCTTGGGTGGGGATATATTGTTGTCAGCTCTGGGTTCAGAAACACCTGGAGATTTGGGGGAGGTAGAGCCTGGGGAGGGGAGGGCTTAAGGAGGGAAAGGACCTCAGCAGGGTATAATGCCATAGAGTCCACCCTCCAAAGCATCCATTTTCTCCAGGAGGACTGATTTCTATTTTCTGGAGATCAGTTGTAATAGCAGTAGATCTCCAGGCCCCACCTGGATGGGGACACCAAGCATCGTTGTTGCAATGAGGACCTTCACTGGAAATTTCTCTACCGCTGAAATTGGAGTTAATGAGTTGAACACAGAGCTTGTTCTACAACGTACCTTCAAAGTTTGAAGCCAGCTTCTCTTCTATGTCATCAAACCCTACGTTCCTGATATTCTCAAAAAAATCTTTCAAATAAGCCAGTGCATCCTGAGTACGTGCATCTTCATTAATGATGAGGGTTTCGTTGTATTTCTGCATGTAAAGAGAATTTGGGAACCTTTATGTGTGAGGAAATTTTTCAAAAAACAGTTATACACTTCGTTCAGACCGTCATGGCAACTGGTGTTCAAGGAAGAAAGACAGAGGGGGGGGATTATTAGGGCTGCCGAATGCAGCCGGGGGGCGGGGATTCCCCCGCTTCGGAGCCCCGATTTCCGGCGCGCCGGAATCGGGGCCCGGGGGAAACCCCACCCCCGCGTGCGCGTCACCTGGAAGTGACGTCACACGCTGGGGGCGGGGCCACGCCGTTTGAGGGGAAAACAAAGAGTTTTCCCCTCAAATGGCAGCCATTTGAGGGGAAAACAAAGAGTTTTCCCCTCAAACGGCGTGGCCCCGCCCAGCGTGTGACGTCACCTCCGGTGACGTTCTGGCGGCGCGCGCGCGCATACAGACACGGCTCCCGGACCAGCAGGAAGAACCCCCGCCGGTAGGAAAAATTTTTTTGGCAACCCTAGGGATTATCAGTAGTGCTTACCAAGGGCCTGGTGGAAATTAGAGAGACCTTTGGACTGCTGCACACAAAATGGTTGTTAAACAGAGCTCAATTGTTCTCAGTAGCAAGTAATGGGAACACATCATTTCTCAAAGTGGATTGGGCAATTTTCTGTTAATCCCCCCATGGTCTTTTTTGTTATGGAGAAGGCTGCCTGATGGTAAATTGGTACAGAGAAACATTTACACTACCTGGAGGCAGCCACTGCAGGTAACAACTTAAAATGGCTTCTAGGGGATGGCTATATTGCCTGCTAGTCCACACAAGGTGAAGGTGCCTTTTGACTTGAAGTGTGGGATTCCACTAATGCTTGTAGTAATACCAATCTTAAACTACAGGCCAGGGAAAACATGGATCTTTCTCAAACTGCTCCTGGACTATCACTGAAGGAAGTAAGGTTGCTTCTGAGGAGAAAACACTAACTTACCCGGAGGTGCTCCGTGTAAATAAAAAGAGCCCTGCAAATCCTGCTTTCTTCCTCCTTATCTGGCAGCTGTAACACTGAGCATCTCTTCTGTACATCAACAATCCATTGTTCGTATTTCTGTGTTCCAAAACCTCTGTTCTTAATGTGGGACAAAGTATCTTGTGGGGGAAAGCAGACAGGCAAATTGGCAAACAGGAGGCACACACAGCAATGAAGTCTAGTGTTAAGTCCAAGACTCAATGCAGCTTTGAACAAACAGTGATTCGGCTTTATTAGAGATTAAGAATGAAGACAAAATACTGGAGTATCAGGCTCCTTTTTAAACTGTCCGGGCTTAGATAACCACGCCCACATGTCAGATAGCAACCAATGGTAGCAACCAATGGTATTTACAGAATAAAGACCAATCATTAGGCTTCCCTCCATACTTTCCACTTCTCTGATTGGTGGATTTTGGATACCATTCCAAACTTATGCTCATATACAAGTGAATACACAACATCTAGGGAGGAAATTCACTTTCTGAACAGAGACTATACACATGCTTTTATATTTAGTTCCTGTTTTAGAAGTGTTTTCCAGTTGTACTGACTGCAAAACTTTAAAAAGAGCCAAGCATGAGCAATATAATAGAGCACAGGAGGAAGAAGCCATTTTAAAAACCTTCAAGATACCCAAGCATCTGGATAAATGATGGCTAATTTCTTCCCCTGATCCTATTCTTCTATTAGGTCTACAATAGCTCAAAAGCAGGGACTGAGGAGGTGTTTAAAAGAAAAAGATGTCAAAGAAGTAGAAAGAGGGAAGTATGAGTGAGCCAGAACTAAGAGGCCTTAAATGAAAGATGGAAGGTTATGACTTTTGATCAGAAGGACATTAAGTCACACGGGAATGACATCACTTTCTGATTTGCTTCAGGGTCTTACCTATAGGGTAAACTTTTCTTGCCAGTTTTTCAGTTTCAGACATCATGTGTGAAATAATGTCCACAAAATTACTTTCAGGACGTTTCCCAATAAGCTTAATTGCTGCAATCAGGGGGAGAAAATAATAAAGAAGAAATCATTAGCAGCATATAGTTGCTTTAAACTCACTGACCAGTAAACATTGCCTCACCTTCTGCCCAACAGTGGGAGGAACCATCATATCACCAGGACCTACCAGATGTGATTACTAACAGCTCTTCCTTCATGTTTTTTTTTAATGAGCCTTTGAAAATTGGGACATGTTTTCCTTATACTGGCATGTAGTCTCAATTGCTTGCGCTCTATCAAAGGTGCCTGTCACTTTCCTATATCTGGACAGCAGAAGACGTGTTGAAGGTACAGTAAGCAGACTTCAGATGGCAGGTTACTGCTCTGATTCTCACATGGCAGATTCTGTATTATTATGTGAATGGATAAACTTCTTGACATGGCGTTGTGGCTGAGCTCTAGGACTGCCCCTGAATGTCAATGGCTGGGGAGCAAAAAGAAGGGGGAAGCGGTGGTCACTTTCTGCTTGCAGGCTTCCCAGTTAGCCACTGTAGGACTCAAGATGCTGGAAAGACTGCGGTCCATGGGGAGATTAACACACATGTCCACCAGTGGGAGGCAGTAGAACAGCCTCCTGAGAAGATGTATGGTGCAATTTTAAGCAGAACTAGCCTTTTCTAAGCCCATTGGCTTCAAGTGACTTTAAAAGGTACAACTCTGCTTAGCATCTTCAAAAGCCCAAATGGCTCAAGGCCAGGTCAAGCCAGCCTGATCCCCTTGTGGATTAATGTAAAGGGGGTAAAAATAGCTAAGGAATGTATTCTAAAGGGACCGGCAGCCCTATCCATGCTTTACATGCAGAGCAGTAGTACAGTCCAATCCAAAACAAGAGGGCATAGCACTGAGATGATCCCATGTCAACATTGCTTCTGGTTCCAGGACAAACAGATGCAGACTGGGCTTTCGGGGATTCGTGGAGCAGGGCACTTCCAAAACAACTGCACGTTTCCTCCTCCCCCAAGTGTTAAGTCGCTCGCTTAACAAAGAAGTCGGAGAGTGATTCAGCAAGAACACAACTTTATTCTTCAACTCAAACACAACTCGAACACGGATCAACATCAGATAGCCGGAACAGAACAGTTCAGCTTTTACATTGCAGTTGTCCTGCTTTTAAACTCTCCCGGCTAATGTAGCCACACCCACTGTACAAATACCAACCAATACGGTTGTTCATATAAGGACCAATCACAGACGTTCCCGCTCAGGGAGCTTGCTGTAAAGTGATTGGCTAGGTGCTTCCTGGGCTAGCAATGTGATTGGATGGATTTGGATCCTAGCCCAGGACGAAGCTCAACATGGCAAGTCAAATGTTTCACATACATCATGCATTCAATGGCAGCTATTGAATACATTACACCAAGACTGTAACTCAACAGCATATTTACATTTTTGGGGCTTGTAGACAACTTCCTCCAAGTCTTTTATGTTCTCTTTGACGGTTGATATGACCTGGGCACTGAGTGAGGCACAAACTGTACAGATGTGTTCTATGGTGTCCTCAAGATTTTTGGCACTTCCCACTCCGAGGGAGGCTGTCAAACCTACAATCTGAGCACACATTCAGAAACTGAGCACTGTACACAAAGAATTCAAACAGACGGCCCTGCCTGATGACAAGCAACGGAAGTTGTAACATGGCACAAGACAGAACAATAGGGTGGAGAGAAAGAAAGAGGCTGTCTCTCTCTAGCAGCATGTGCATGAGGATTCTCTCAAAATCATAACCAGAGAGCTTGTCAGAACTATGGTCTATCCATGATGTACCAGGACCCTCCCTATATTTTATGGGGGTTTAAGTCTTTAAGACAGAGTGCAACCCTAAGCAAAGTTATGCCATTTGAAACTGCATGAATGCAATGATGTTGTTGGATTGCTTTGGGGGGAAAACACGGTGTAGGGGTACGGAATTCAGCTTCCTGAGAATCTTAGGGTTTTTTAGCCGGGGGGGGGGGAGAGTAAATTTATATCCTCCGTGTTGAAACATTACCTGGGGAAGAGGTGTTGCAGCCTGCTCAAATTTAAGATCCAAGTATTTGGACATTAATACATTGTAAGGATGGTTCCCAGTTGTGTTGTGGCACTCATCAAAAATAATCAGCGTGAACATCGAAAGGGAAGGCAGCGTTCTATCATTGAGACAGTTGAGTAGAATCTGAGGTGTCATGACTGTGATATCATTTTCCTCAATAACCATGGCTACAGGGGTCTCGGCAGCTGTTTCCCCACATATGCCTGCAACAGTAAAGCTGGGAAGGAACAGACAGGCATTGATCAAAACTCTAGCAACTCATCCTGGGTATTTAGCAGATCTAAAATGCCGTGAGAAGAAATTCAAGTTTGCAATTGGGCAAAGATTAGACAAGTCAAGAGAACACCTTCAAAATATATGAGTTCAGTGGCATAAGGAATTGGTTCGTGTGTGAGGAAAGAACAACAGAATGTATGGACCACTGAGATGCAACAGGTGTGACAAAGTCCTGGCTTGTCTGAATCTGCTGTGCGTCTTTACATACCACAGTTCTCTTGGACTCAAGAGATATCCCCACCGAGAAACATTTAGTTTTTGTAGGTCACAAGCATGTGTGAAATAAGGGCAGGCTCACCATGGCTATTTCCATGTCTGTCTGGTGGTATGAACAATGTTCCCTCAAAGCTACGGAGTCTTATGAGGCAAAATTCTACTCCATGAGCCAAAAGATCTAATAGGATTAAAGTTGTGAGCGAGGAAGGAAGGAAGGCAGGAAGGCAGGCAGGCCCCTCCCATCAGCTTTAAAGGGTGGGCAGCCATTAGAGTCCTCCGTTTGGCTCCTCCCCACTTCCAAGTGAGGGGAAGGCAAAGGGAGCACTGAAATGGCTTCCTGCCTTTTAAACCAAACAGCACCAAGGGTCCGCCCATCAGCTGTTTGCTTTAAAGGGCGGGCAGCCATTAGAGTCCTCCACTTGGCTCCTTCCCCGCTTCCAAGCAGCACGAGCTGTTGGCTTTAAATGGCTTGTAGCTCCCCCTTCCCTTCCTCCCCAGGGGAGGTGGTTTTGGCCAGTGGAGGGCTTGGCTTTGTGCCTCTTCACCCCCCTGGGTGATGGAGGGAGCCAGGCGGAACAGGCTGCAATGCAGCGGTAGCTCCAGGGAGGGAGGGAGGGAGGGGAGTTTCCTCATTCTGCAGTCAGCTGGGGATCTGTGCACTGGAGGCTGGGAATTTGTGTGCCAGTGCAGGCTGGTGCAGCTTAGAGGGAACACTGGTTGTGTGTTGAAAGCAGCTAGCACATGTGGAGAAAATAACCCAGAAAATCCCTCAGAGCCGAAGTATAAATAACCTAGGCTTTATTCTATATATACACATAATAAGCTCTCTGCATTTAGAATTGTACTGCCAATCTCTAGACTGGGCCATCATTATAGAAGCTGCAAAAAATCAACAAATTAGTTCAATCTAAACAGAATGACATACCCTTCCAAGCCCATTGAACTCAACGGACTCAAACTCTGCTTTCGACTGCACCATCAGTCAGCTTTACATCTATCTATCGCTTGAGTATTGCAACAGCAAATGAACATACCTCCATTCTTTCCATTAGTCCAAATGAATTCAGTTTATCAAATGGTATGCTATCAAGAACACAGGAAGATACAGTGATGCATATGTATGCATGTGTCAACACATCTTCAGTTGTCATTCCATTGTCTTGTATCCCACAGTGCAATAAAGGACGGGCATTTTGATCAGAGGAGATGGGGCAAGTTCCTCTGATTTGACCCTCCCACTACAGACCTCCCTTTTGCCACCTATATTGTTTATGAGAATCCTCTGACTCCACCCACTCTGAAAAAACTTTCAGGGGCAATTTTGGGCTACAAAAGGAGAGGGACACAAGAAAGCTCCACTTGTGGATCATATAGGAGATCAGAAATAATCAAAGCAGAAGTGGACTAAAACATTCATCTACACTACTGATGCAAACACCACAGCTTGGATCCCGGACTAAATTTTTCATTAACAGAAGGCACTTCCATCAATACTATGTACCTATCCCTCTCCTCCCTCTGCTTCCATTGACCTTTTCAAAATACTGTTACTGGGACAGACCATTTGGGGGAGTTCCCCAGGCAGGAGTGGAAGGGGGGAATGGCAGAGCTGTTCTTGTAGACAGAAGTGCTTTCCGTTAACAGAAACAAAATTTTGGATCCATCCACCCTTCTTTCTCTCCTCCTCTCACAAATACATTTAATAAGGATAGCTAAGCATTCTTGTAGCTAATGTTTACTCAGAAGTACATCCAGCCAAGACCCAATGAACTTAGCAACTATGTGGCTCATGGAATAATACAACTACTGTTCGGATCGGTCGGAAACAACTATTAAAAGCATGCTCTGGCTTTGTTTGGGAACAAACAGGCAACCCAAAAAGAAGGACTTCAGTCATACCCAGTCCTTTCAAAATGCTCCTGGAAAACTTTCTTCTGTTGTTCATACACTGGGACTTTAGTGGCAAGGAAGATAACCTTCCCTTTCTCCCCAGCAGGCCTGTTGCGGAGGTGATGGTCACATATTATAAGAGATACAAAAGTCTTCCCAGATCCTGTGAAGGCAGAACACAGAAGAAAAGGGCTAACTGGGATTGTTTGCAACAGCAAGAGTGTTCCTTACCATAATTACTGTGCATTTAAGTCATCTCCGACAATCTGCATCTCCCATTCTACCTACAAGGTGAAAATAAGTCCATATATCAAATGAAGATCTGATCCTGTAACAGTGTTGTGCTTGTCCTGATCTTGCAGAAGAGTCTGAGTTGTGATGTTCCTGGTTCAAATCTCACTCAGCCCTAACACATTAGATGGTCTTAGACAAGCCAGTCTGTGGGGAGGATCAGCGATATGGCACACCAGTCCTGATTCTGGCCACATCCAGGCTCTGTCAACATTAGGTTGATCAGTGACTCTGGTACACTAAGAGTCCTGACCTTTGCACATCCTGAAACTGCAAGCAAGTCTTAAGATACTGTGCAAGCATTCTAGGCATTCTGCCTAAGTATTTGTTTCTCCCTGTTTCTGTACGTGCAAGCCACAGCCTCACCTCGCGGTGGGGGGGGGGGCAGAGGGTGTATAAAATAAACTCATGCTGCTTTAAGCAGCAGAATGATTCTTCTCCCTCAAAGATCCTCTCTCGTGTGAGTCCTTCACCAGTCTCAGTCCCCTCCACCAGTAATATGAGGATAATAATATTGACCTACCTTAAAGGTTTGTTGTAAACATTATTGAAATAATGTAGGGGAAGCATTCTGAATACTTATGCTATATACTGTAGTTTTCCTAAGACAGGGACAGAAAACTGATGTCCCTGTTATGTTACAGTACTACTGCCCAGCAAACAGGCGAAAAGGGGATTTCACCAAGTTGAGTAGCAAGCTGTATCCCCTTTCCTGTAATATAGCATCATGGCCTTGTGCACCATGGAAAATGGGTGGGAGGGTGGGCTGGATCACTCCTTTCCATTCATTTAATTCAAATGAGGACAGGCCAGTTAGCATCAAAGAAATCCTCCTCATTTATGTTTCCACATAGTTCTTTTCTGAGTCAAAATGGGAAAGCCCTGAAGCTTGGGCAAAGCAAGGAGGGCCTCACTTGTATGGATGTTGCCATAGTATGTAAATCTTACTCTGAAATATCAGGACTACGTATGACCACTGCAGACAATGGGGGGGGGGAGAGTTTTGATCAGATGCCTGGGTAAAATCTGTGTGTGTGTTTTAAACAACACAATAGAAGGTGTTCTGCTTTTTCCCGTCAATCTCATTTGTGAAATATCCTCCTTGGCGATGTTCAGACACTTCCTTTAATATGTCTGAGGCACTAAGTAAAAACTTTTTATTAACCTCAGCCTTCAATAACTTGTGTTATCCCTACTATGTCTGCCATAAACTGCTGCACTTGGTTCTTTGAGAGGGGAATATGCTATTGGACTTGATTTTTTAAATCAGATTTTAAAGATTTTTATTGAAGCCACATTATACCTTTATTTAAATGAAAATGTGAGATCACTGTTTGTTTAAAAAAACCCTTCATGATATGGAGCACACTTATGGCTTTGCTTTTTCACAGCAAGCAGTCAATTTTCATGATGGACACATACCCATTGATGCATCTTGCCCAATAATATCTACTCTGACTGACTAGGTGGTTTTCCAGGGTCACTGGCAGAAATTCCTAGGTTCACTACAAGTGGTCCTTTCTAACTGGAGGAGTAAGTAATTTGGTTTGCAACCTTCTGCATACAAAACATGCTGTCTGCTGTACAGTCTTGCACCACGAAGTGACACTGCAACTATCTATCTCAGATTAATTAACCTTTCCAATGTCAGTTCTAAAATAAATACAAATATTCTGCAGCTTTAACCAAGGAATCTTCCATTCCAAACAAAACCCTTCCCAAATTCTAAAACCACACAACAAATTCAGAAAGCACGCTGCCAAACATGATCAAAACTCAGAAGCAGTGAGATCTTACCAGTAGGGGCACAAATGATGGTGTTTTTGCCATTGAGAGCAGGCTGGGCAAGTTCGTTTTGATAGCTTCTCGCCTCCTTTGGAAAATAGGTGGACCGCGGACAGGGTTCTAGAAACACAAGAAGGCAAAAGTAACTTTGTAGCATCTATCACTTAAAAGTCGCCTTTTGTATGGGTTACTCCCTTTTCCATCACTAGGAAAAAAGTAATCTTGTGTGAGGTAAAACCTATTCGCCCCAAATCCAATGACTCTTTGTGGGTCTGGGGTCTCACATGTGTACAAAACATATACTACTGATTTCAAATGGAGGGGGCATGACCCACTTCCACTGCCATTAACAGAAAAATTTTGCCAGAAATATGTTTCTCACTCCTGAGTGACAAGCGGCACTTTCTGACATTCCCTCTTCTACACAACTCTTGAAGGCACTGGGAGTCTTGAAGGCTCAAGGATTTGTGATTCCAGTGGAGAGACATTTTTTTTTTTTCCTCAGAGGAGCTAGGGTACAACCTGGTACCAAAGGCACCAATGTACTCCTACTTATTGTAGGATCACTGAGCTCTAAGATGTCGGTGAGAAAAATCCTTTAAAATAATGGCCTGAAATATCTTTTTTCTCCCCCACCTCCTTTTCTTTACTGTGTAACTTCCAAACTGATTAAGAGTTCTGGAAAGCACAAAAGCTTGCATTGCTTTATGTCATTGTAGCTGGTCCTAATGTAGGTCTTATGTGGACAGCGATGCATTACAGGAAGACATCTTATGCTTTTGACCACTGTACATCAGATGGTTCCTGATATAAAACATGCACACTTAAAGCTACGATGCAGATAAATGCCACAAGCAACCCTGATAGAATCTCACAATGTGGGCCCTGTTATTCGCACCCTGAGACTTGCAAATCACTACTGCCACAATTTGTGTCAACACCTACTGACCACAACTTGGCCACAAATCTCTTTTGGAAAGTCCCCAACCACCCACCACCCCTAGAATTTATTCCCTAGCTTTCTAGCAATTCAAAAATTCCCTTTCCTGATGATCCGACCCATCCACGTACTAGCAGGTGGACTTGGTGTTCCACATAAATGCCAGGCCACTTTGCAGTCTTTTCCCAGCCTCTCTCAGCTATATACAGGCAAATCCTCCATCAGTTTTGCCCATGCCCCCAACATAATTTGAGGCACAAGAAGCCTTTGAACCTAGTGAGCCATCTACCCCTCCAGGGCTGCAATTTCCCTGAGGTCCCAATCCATTATCTGGAAGTCTGTAACACAGACTCATAATGCTAACATGGTTTTTAGAGGTTACCTGCAGGAGAACACAAAGAGGAGCAGCTATTCTCGCTATAATTGGCAGCCTGTGCATCTTCAGTATATTGAAAATTTATATCAACGGCACAGCTGTCCTCATCGTCACCTGTCATTTCAACATCTGTTCCATCACCTTGATCTGAACATGACAGAAAAGAAGCATGTTTTATTATAAGAGTCAGAAGTAGAAGTTTCACTATTTTTCATATAGCAGGGCAAAAATATTTGTTTCACTAACTCTGCCAAGTAACCACCACTCAGATATGTTCATCCCAACACATTTTTATTGTATACATTTTTGGTAACCACCTTGGGGGCCCTGATGAGGGCAGAAAGGCAGGGCATAAATTTTGTAAACAAACAAAAAATAAGCAAGACTATATATAGCAATGCTAGCAATCCCATAGAGAATAGAATATGCCTTCCCAATCACCTCTAAGCTTCTAGCCCTCATGGTTATGATGGGGAGGGGGACACAACACTGGCAAGAAGGCCTGAAACGGCTTTTGTGTGACTGCCTGGGTACGTTTGTTGTGTTCTGCACAAGACAAGCACAACTACACAAACAGGCCTAAACATAGTGCATTTAAATATTTTTATTTTTTTCTCGCCAACAATTTGCGTGTGGGTTTTCTTATGCTCTTATTAAATCAGTGTCCTTGGTAACTCTCCTGTGCAGTTATGCCAGATGAAACCAATGAGTTTAGCCTGGAGCGACAGTCAGGTGGCAGCTGGTGGGAAATAAGTCCCAAGTGCCACGGGGGGGTCAATCTAGATTGGATCCGTGGGGGCTGCTGCAGCCTCCCCTCATGCCATTTTTCAAACCCAAATGACCCCAGTTCATGGAAGAACGCCAAAAAAATCTTGGGTGCTGGATATTCAGTTGTGTATCTCAACATATACAAACTGCATTATAGTCTTGCTTTTTGTTAGGGGAATTCTTTCAGCTCTGCCAGCATGCTAGAGTCCTAATGCTTCAGGATATCATAATGGAAGCACATCTTTCTATGATCCTGCAGGCCTTCTGTAGGCTTTTTAAAAAAAATAGTATTCATTGTTTCAAAATAATGATCAGTGATATTTGTATTATTAAGGGGCTCCGTTACATGTAGAATTTTATATTAGTTTCCCTTTTAAAATGTTTATACATATTAAATATATTTTACTTTCCCAAGAATACCACCCCACTGGAAATTTTCCCCCCATTATATATTCCCTCAGTTCCTTTCAAGGCACCATGAGCAATCACCCACTACTGAAAAACTACCATGTAAGAATCCACAGCAAGGAGGGAGAGAACGTGTGTCTACACAGAAGACACCGATGGACAATAGTTACAGGTAAGTGCAACTCCGTTTTCATCGTCCATCTTCAGTGCAGCCCCATACTGAGATGTTAGCAAGCTACTCATCAAATGAGGTGGGGTGATGCTCTCACTGAAAAAGCGACTGGAGAACTGTCTTGCCCATGTCTGCATCCTTCCTCGTTTGAAGGTCCAACACATAGTGCTTCAAAACTGTGTTCTCTGCCAACCACACTGCAGCTTGGCAGATGTCGACAAGTGGGACTCTCCTATGGAAAGCCGCCGAGGAACCTTGTGGAGTGTGCCTTAACAGCCAATGGGTAGGGTTTCCCTGCTGCCTCATAATAAGAACAGATGGCTGCCGCAACCTACACAGAAAGGAACTGAAAAGCAGCCTTTCCATTCTTTAGCCCCAGTAACATATGAACAAGGCCTTATCTATGCAGAATGGCCCTGTCATGTTAACATATTATAACAGGGCCCTCATGACATCCCAGGTATGGAGAGCTTTCTGAGCCTTAGAACTTGAGGACAGGAAAATCACCATTAACATGATTTCTTGTGAGAGATGAAAGTTTGAGACCACCTTTGGAATATGGTAGCAAGGTCCTATCTGGCAGCCAGTGGGGGGTCGACAGGGCTTCTCCGGGAGTCTCCTGCCCTGAGTGTGCAATGACATCACACAGAAGTGATGTCATCACATTGCCAATGTCATGCTGGGATATTCTATAGTGTTCAGATGAAACTGTATGGTTTGAGCCCAGTTTCACCATAGAGTTTTGCCCAAAAGTTAAAGCATTGCTGTGCAATGTTGGTGACAGCATGATGAAATCACTACCCAGTGAAGTCATTACGTTGTGTTCGGGGTAGGGTTGCCAAGTGTGAATTCAGCCACAGCGGGGGACTCCCGGTTGGCGGCTGTAGTGCGCACGCATGTGCGAAGTGCGTGCATGCCGCATCCATGTCACCCGGAAATGACGTGGGCACACCAGGCACGCTGGGAGCAGGGCCATGACCATCTGAGGGAAAACCATAGTTTGGGACTCACATCTATACTTGAATTGTTGAATTACTGGAGGATTATTTAAAGCAGAAGTAGTTAAACCCTTAAAATGGCATCTTCAGAAGAGATGCAGGAGGACTATGATGAGGATACCTTAGTAGGGGAACTTACTTTGGAGCAATTTATGAATGTATTAAGAGAGGAAATACAAAGAGGAATTAAACAAGCATGTGCAAATGTGCTTGGAAGTTTACAAGGGTTACAACAGGCCAAGGAAAATGAGGAGAGAAGTGGAGAGGAAGAGGAGCAGGGTGGGCAGGACGAGGTGGAGCAACAGGTTTGCTGCTATGAAGAGATATCTGTTAATGTCCAGCCTGTGCCGTTGATAGAGGCTCATGAGAAGAGAAGTGGAGTGTACTACCTAGAGGCAAAACAGAATAAAAGAAGGGACAAAATACATATGACATGGAAGGGAGAAACAAAAAGGAAAAAGGAAAAAAGAGAGACTAAGACAAGATTCAGGGAAAAGAAAGATGCAAAAGTCAAACAGGAACACAACTAGGTGGAACTATAGGAGAAATTTTGGAGTAACATCACAGATTGGTAAAGAAAAGAGTAATATGGATTGGTTGAGGCAAAAGAAAAAGAAAAAAAAACGAGATCAAGATGAGGTGTGTGGAAGGCCAAGATGAGAAGTACAGATTGGGACACAGCAAGGTGGAAATACAGAGGAAGTGGTGCAGAAATAAAATTCCATGCATGCAAAGAGAAAAACCATGTGGACTCATTGAGGCGGAAAAGTAAACTTCAGATTCATAGGAAAAAAATTAAGATGTATGAAGATTGATGGGTGGTACAGAGTATTATACTTATGGATAAAAGGAAGTGAAGATCTTGTTGCATGTTAACATTGATGAATTTGTTTATAGGGGTAATTATGTATTTATTTCTGTATGATAGGGGTAAGGCATTGGTAGCATAAGTGGAAAATATAGAAAATGATTGTCTTGCGGTATTTTAACATTGATGAATTTGCTTATAGGTATAATTAGTTATTTATTGCTGTATGATGGGGATGAGATACGTGTAGTATAAGTGGAAATTGTAGATGGTCGGATTTTGATACAAGCAGAAAAGTAATTATGTTTTGTTTTTTCTTGTATGTATGTATGTATGGGAAGGAAAATTATGAATGGGGTTTAAATAGGTTTTTAGGTAATTAGTTTGATTTGTGTTGTGGATTTTTGCTAAAAATGAACTTATGGTAAAGGTTGTATTGTGATATGGACAGTTTTTATGTTTAGTTATTTAACTATTTATGTTGGTGGGTTGTATTTCTGGGAATAAGTGAAGCTAGTGGTAAATATAGGAAGAAAAATTCTGAATAGGGTTTAAATTTGAGTTATAGAAAATTAGTTTAAAGGAGTTTGAAGATTCTTGGTGTATGAAAAAGGAATGAATTTTTGGTGTATTTAATGTTTACAGGTACTTTATGAAGGAGGGTGTTGTCTATATGTTTATATATCTAAATACTTAGTTATTTATAAATAGAGGGTAAAAGGCAGTTTGATGGATTGAATTGGGAATATAAATTAAAATAAATGTTTGGTAATATCAATTAATAGTTTGTAATGTAAAAGATGGTAACTAGGAAATGTTTTTGTAATCTGACTAATATCAAGTGGAAATTGTGAGACCCTATGTTGAGAGCTTAAAGTCTACTGAGAATGGGTAAATATATAATATATGAGTAAAGATAAAAGTAAGTTAAAAACTATTATGATAGTAACTTTAGAAAAACATACATAAAGTGCTAAACTGTTTTCTTTTTTTCCTCTCTAGCCTCTAGGATTAAGAGATTAATGTGTGTTATGGTAACTGATAAAATTTCCTAGGATATACCTGTATCTGTATTGTTTTTGAGAATGCATGTGATGTTTGTGTGTAGCATATTGAAAACCCAATAAATAGATTTTAAAAAAGAAAAGAACATGTGATGGTTTAGGCAGTAAAAGGCCACTGGGTCAGCTCTGGAGGAAAAGCAGCAACTCAGATAGCTTCTACTTGTAAAAAAAAAAACAAAAAAACTGTCCATGGCTGGCCTACTGTAGCCTCTAAATTCCTGAAGCAGTGGCACAGAAAATGACACAAAAATACAATAACAAAGATACACAGTACCACCATCTGTCAAATTCCAGACTGTGGCAACATCGTATGTTCCTTGCTCCAGTGCTAGCTGGAAGGTTTTGGGCCAGTGAACCTTGTCTGACCGATACAGGCATTCCACTAATTTTATTGCACTTGCTCCTTTGCCCTTGTTACGTTTAACCTGCAAGACACAATGATAAATTTTGGGGAGAAAGAAGAACAAGTAAAACTTTAACATTCTGGAATATTTTTGAGCATACAAGACAAAAGTATGTACATTTTAAATTAACTGTGTCTCAGAAACTTCACCTCAGTAACCACAAAGATTTGCATAAACTGGAGCGAACTCAAAGCAGAACAAAACCACAGTTTAATCAGACTTTTCTGCCCTGGGAAAACCTGCATATGATTATTATGCATTTGGATCAATCACAAGAGTTCTTTATTTTGTTCCACTGTTGTCTTAAAGCCACACCAGGTTGGGGGGGGGCACAGTATGTCTGGATGGGTAAACAACTTCAAATAGGTAAGATGCTGATTTTTAATTTTAAATTAGAAAGAATAGTGATATTGCTTTAATACAGTCCCTCTCAAAAATTTTGAACCAAGATCCACTTCTCAACTTAATGTAATGTTCAGGACCCATTTCTCAACTTATTCTAATTTTCACGGTACCTAGACAGAGAAGCTATTGTTTGTTGGATCCTCACTCAGACAGCAGTAGCTTCATTAAGCCCATCTAGTTTGTGACATGAGCAACACTTGACCTTAGGACTTCCTAGCTCACAACTCACACTCTCAAGGAAATACATTATCTCACTCATTCAGTAGTGTGGCTTTCATGGCATGGGAAGGGACAGGGCTCAGAGGGTACTGCCCTGCCCCTGGCTCCCCCCACCCCAAGTCCTTGGGTGACCAGAAAAATGCCCACAGGAAATAAGCCCACAGTCATAAATGCTCACAGGAAATAAGCCAACACAGAAAAAAGCCCACGGTCATAAATACCCACACGGAAAAAAGCCATGTAAAGCACCACAGATATTTATAATTGTGGATAACCATTCATCTCCATTTATGAGAATGAACATGTAGTACCTATATTTTATATTGTAATTTTAGGATTAAAACATGTCATATTCACATGCAACAATTTGTGCTGTGATCTTATCAAGTATAATCTTAATATAATAACTCCATTACGTATTGGCCATTTCCAGCTCTCCCACTAGCTGTGCAGTGTGCTCCATCAGCTGTTGGCCTATCAACCGCCACTCAAGAGTAATCACGTGCCATTGGTTGAGTGTGCTGGGTCTGCTCCTCTTCCCCACCCACTGCCACCTCAGTCACTGTTCCTTGTCAGAATAACTGCCAAATGGCTATTTCTCCTGAGGAAGACACTTTTCCCTCAGTGGCTGTTGCTAGGCAACCAAGCTTGGTTCAGTCAGTAAAAAGAAAAAGGAATGAAGCCAGTGGGTGAGCTGGAAATGGCCAATACGTAAGGGAATTATTATATTAAGATTATACCTGATAAGATCACAACACAAATCACATGTGAATATGACATGTTTAATGCTAAAATAAAAATATAAAATGCAATATGTATTCATTCTCATAAATGGAGATGAATGGTTATCCACAGTTATAAATATCTATGGCGCTTTATATGGTATTTTCCATGTGGGCTTCTTTCTGTGTGGACTTATTTCCCTGTGGGCATTTATGACCATGGGGTTTTTTTTCTGTGGGCTTTTTTCATAGAACCAAGTCCTTGACCCCTATCCCAAAGCCCAGAGTGACTTCCATCATCAGAGGTGTTGTTTCCCTCTCCTCAGCTTTTTCTGACACTCACCTCTTGCTGGCATCCCACTGGAATGCTTCAGGAAACACTGAGGATGTTGTTTATCCCAGCAGAGTATGGCATCCCCAGACAAGCCTTTTGGTATCTGCTTGCCTCTGTCTCTCTCCTTAGGGGAAGTGGACTAAATAGTACCTCAGTATGAGCTAAGGTACCCCCAACACAAGGACTATTACTGCGAGGGTTGCCAGCTCTGGGTTGGGAAATTCTAGGAGATGTTATGTGTAGAACTTGAGGAGCATGGGCTTTGGGGAAGGGAGGGACCTCAGCAGGGTATAATGCCATAGAGTCCACCTTCCAAATCAGCCATTTTCTCCCCGGGGAACTGATCTCTCCTGGAGATCAATTGTAATTCCAGGAGATACCCAGCCATCACCTGGCAGTTGTCAATCCCAGTGTATAGAAATATTGATTTCTAAATGTCTCCTGCATTCTCCTGTTCTGTCTTTTAGTAACAGGCTGTGCCTTATTTCCTGTTACAAGCCAAATGGTGGGCCCCCATGGCCTCAATTGCATGCCATAAACCCACATTCTTCACACTTCCATGCTGGAAGCTAGGCCTACATGCAAGATGTCACGTAGCCGATGAAGTAGTTGGAGTTTGGGGTCACCTGACTGCAGAGGGAGTCTCCAAACGTCCAGCCTATCCCCACTTGCACCCATGACAACTAACAATTTGGACACACCCTGCCCACTCGCAGTTGGGTGCCTGGCCACAGCTGATTGTGAATGCAATGGGCCTATAACTGGTCATTCCCAATGGGAGAGAGCTCTGTTCTCTCTCTCTCTCTGCTCTTGTGTTCTTGCCCTCTGTTCCTGCTAGTGAGCTCTGCTTGTTTATTGCACCTGGACATGTGGTCCCCCTGGGAGAACAAAGACTTGAGCACATGAAGTGCAATGATGGGATTCTTCTTAAAAATCCCTTGGCGCTACTGGATTATCACAATGGACTGTTCTGGATTGATTAATGTTCCTGACATGGTAAATATGAAGCATTATGTTTAGTTAAGGCAAACAGCCCTAGCCTTTCTTGTTTTGAAATCTTTATAGTCTAATTGCAATGCTCTGTGCCGAATAAAAACTTATTCTTGTTTCTAACTTGTCTTTGATGTTGTAACTGGGATTCCAAGTCTATTTCCTGTGCCTAGCTGGCCACACGCTACCATTGAGCATTAAGGTACGTCTCTGGGAATGAGGTGCTAAAGTGTAAAACCCAGATGCCAGCTAAGAGTCTGAACCTTGCTCTTAGGCTGGACGGGGACTCTAGTTAAAAGAGGTTCTGGTGGCAAATTGTTCTGAAATCCAGAGAGGGTAGCCTACCTCTCTGGGTTGTTGTTTAATGCAGAGGTCATTTCGGGGGGGAACGCGGGGGAACGCAGTTCCCCCGGGTGAGGTATGGGGGGCAGGGCACATGACAAAGCCCCGCCCCCTGCTTCTGGCCACCCCGCTTCCGGCCCTCATTCAGCCAGGAGGAGGCAGGAGAAGAGGGAGGGTAAGTTGCTTCCTCCCTGCCTCTCCCCACCCCTGCCTGCCTGGGGCCAGGGAGGGCCTTTGCGGGGCTTCCTTGCACTCCCGCCGGCCTTGCAGGTCCACCAGTGCCATCAATGCACTCTTTGATTGGAGAGCTTATAGTTGGTCCTCGCTTCGTCTTCCATCTGGCCAGACACTGAAGGCAGGACTCCAGACAGCTGCGGTTTCACCTTTTCTTATTTATTTTATTTATTTATTTTCATACTTATACCCCGCCCTCCCCAGTGGGCTCAGGGCGGCTCACAGAGGCAAGAACAACTTGCCATGATAAAACAATATATACAAAACAGTTTAAAACATATACTACATATTAAAATATAATAACAGGTGCTCAAGCTCCCATTCATAATCTAAAAGATGGCGGATTGAATGTCCAAAGTCCCACGAAGACGGCAGGAGGATTCTTCGGTAGCAGATGTTTAAATAAAAATAAATAAATAAATATAAAAAAATATTTTGCAGTGTTGATTCTATCCTGCTCAGTCAGTTGGACTGGGGATTTGCTTTGGACAGCACAACTCTGAAAAATGATGATGGTGGTTACAAGGCAGACTCCAACCCCAACCACATTTCCAGGGGTAGGGAATCCACAGCAATGCCAAGGGGAGCAGGCTCTTTATTGCACCATGCAACTTACAGCTGAACAGTGGCACCCGGCTCTTGAAGGCACCACCTGACTCACTATGAACTGGAGGCACTGGGTCTTCTAAGGAATGTCCATCTGTCAACAAGCTGTGTCTGGTGGCTTAATGAAAGCAGCAGGGAGGACTTGGGTGACACCCAGAAGCAGCCACTGGCTACAATACTGCCTCCATAAAGGGAAGGCAGGGCTGAGGAAGACAGGCTGGTCTGGCACCAGGCTGAGCAGGACAGATAAAGAGATATTTTGTTGTCGTGACTAAAAAGCTGGATTTGAACTGCGGAAACCTGAGTTCATAGGGGGTTGGAGCACCTTCCCTATGAGGAAAGGCTGAAGAGTCTGTCACCGATTTCCCACAAGCGCTGCTCCACGCTCACTCTTCCCTTTTGCCCCGATGGTACATGTCAATTTCACACAAGCTGCTGCGCAGCCGTATTTTGCCCCGCAGCTTCTGGTGATTTTCCCCGCGTCTATTCAATCCTATTTTTTGAGGATTGAGTAGACACGGGGGAAATCGTGCGAAGCTCCGGGGCAAAATGCGACCGCACAGCAGCTTGTGTGAAATTGACATGTACCATCGGGGCAAAAGTGAAGCGTGAGCTTGGAGCAGCGCTTGTGGGAAATCGGCCTGGGACTTTTCGGTTTAGAAAAGAGACCTCTAAAGGGAGACATGATAGAGGTTTATAAAATTATGCACAGGGTGGAGACAGCTGACAAAGAGACGTTTTTCTCCCTCCCCCAAAATACTAGAACTCGAGGGCATCCAATGATGCTGATGGGCAGTAGATTCAGAACGGACAACAGGATATATTTCCTTTGCACAGAGAGTTATTAAAATGTGAAATCTGCTGCCAGAAGATATAGTAATGGCCACTGGAATAAAAGGGGATTAGACAGATTAATGGAAGATAGGTCTATCAGTGTCTACTAGCCATGGTGACTAAAGGGAACCTCGATATTCAAAGGCAGTAAACTTCTGAATATCAGTGCCAGGAGGAAACATTGCAGGAAGGCCCTGGTCTCTTTGCCATTTTTAGCCCTCCAGAGAAATTGGTTGGTCACTGTATGAGACAGGATGCTGGACTAGATGGACCATTGGTCTGATCCAGCAGGGCTCCTCTTATGTTAATCCCAGTTCAGCCATGAAATCTATATGTCAGTAGGGGACAATTTATGCTCTCGGCTTAGCCTACCTTGGAGTGATTTATTGTCTGAGAAAAATGGAATAACCTGATGCATAACCCCCTGAGCTTCTTCAAGAAATACAAATAATTGAGATTCCACACTGGTTACAGGCCTTGCATGGTAAACATCTGGTATCTTCATGTTTGAAACAATAATACCTGTATAATCTCTTCCCACTCCTGGTCCAGAATACAGTCATTTAAGTCTGGACGTAGTTGTTCTGGATCAATTTCTCGCAAAGAGGGCTCTATCCTTTTCAGCAGCTGTCTAGGCTCCTCCAGCTTTTCAATCATCTGGAAATCCCAGGAGCAAATTGCCTCATGGAGGCCAATGTAACCTTTTAAAGCAAAGCAGTAGAAATGTACAGCCATTCAGCAACAAATAAAAGCAGACCAAGAATATATTTGAATTCACTATGCAAACATCTCCCTCTCCCTCCACTACAATACATAGAAGACATTTGGTTTGCTTCATAAATCACCAGCACCCACTGTCCAAAGGGCCCAAAGATTTTCTTAGATATCAGATTTATTTTGCTCAAGGACAAAATGGAGGACGGAGGAAAGGAGAAAATGCTGCTTTTAGCAATGTTCATATATTATGGATAGCCAATTTCTGGATGTTTGCAAACATTCTATTCTCCTGAAGTCAGTCCACAACCTGGATCCATTCTACTTCCTTACAATAGACATGGACTGTAACAATTTTGGCATTACTTAGAAATAAGGGCTTCATTTGGGATGTCATATGATTGGGGGGGGGATGTCTCATTTGTTCTGGGGCTTTAACAGTAGCCTGTTGTCTAGAAACATTTATCATTCTGCTATTGCCAGGGCTATAGGAAGAGGGACCAAGAAAATTGGAACCCCAAGATACAGAGAACACGTACTCATTCATTAGAATAATATCTTGTTTTCCAAACATAAGCAGTGTTGTGGATTTTCCGGCGGGCGGGGGGGGGGATGAATGAGAAAATTGCCCAGAGAATTTTAGGGGGGGGGGATTGTTTCCTGAGGAAGAACACGAGCTGACACAGTTGTGCACAAATTTAGTAAATTCTTTCAAGTGCCCATGTTAATTTTATGTCCCAATAGCAAACAAAGACTTGGAGTGAAATATTTGACTGTATTTGACCTGCAAAAGCCGAAGACCATGGTGTTCAGCCTCTGGGTCTTAGCTCTTGGGCACTTTGGGTAGGCCATGGCTCTACCTCTGCAAGCACCTACAGAGCCACCAGTTCTTTTGCTACTATTTGGATCTGCTGCTAGAAAGTAACACTGCCATTATTCTGGTTTTTCTTTACTCTTACCCTGAGAGGAGCAGAAACATACAAAGGAAAGTTGGAGAGGATTCTTCTACCGGACCCTTGCTTGTCTGTCCAATCTCCAGGCTTTCTGGATCTGTTGCCCATGGTACTGTTCTTAACACTAGTGTCACAAGCATTACTCCCTCTCTTCCTGTCATGCGACTCTGATGTCACAGGATTGTACCCCAGTGTGTCCCACATCTGAAAAGGTTGAAGACCGGAAAGAACTAAAGCACAAAGAACCTACAGCTCAGTAGAAGCTATGGCCCTGACTTACCAAACAGCCACACTTGCAAGTCAGGGGCCCAGGGCCAAGCAGGGGAAGGTTTCTGCCTGCTCCACGTCAGCCGCATGGAGACTTGAGGGCATGGTCCCGCAGTGGCCCTCAGCCAGCCCAGCTCTTCCTCCATTGGCTGGCTTGGGTGGGGGCAGAGCTCCAGGCACTCCCACGGTCTGGGCCTTGCTCAGGTCTGCCCCCTCCAGCGTTCCCTCTAAGCTATGCCCGTGAGTGGCCGTTCATTAACCTGGAAGCCCCACTCAGCCGCAGTCTTCCCATTGCCCATTTTAACATTACAGCAATTACATTCTGCTCAGGATGTGAACTGCTCTGCTCATTAGAGGAAACATTGGCCCCCTCCCTTCCCTACTTAACCGTGTCACTGCTGGTGCCGGGTCCTCCCCTTACACATAGCTGGTGTACTGAACCTCTGAAAAGAGCTTAACACATTCAGCTTTGTAGCTGTTATTCCTTCATGTTTGGTCCAAAGTGACTGGATACTGCCATTTTGGTGTGTTCCAAAGGATTTTTATTTTTCCTCCATGCCCAGGTGAGCAAAATACTTTAAAATGTGTGCATCTCACATGACTTAAGTATTGTACCATAAACCCAACCTGCTTCCTTCAAAGCTGCCAGGAATTCAAGGAACCATCCATCTTCTGTGAGGTTCACAAAGATTTGAAGGAAAAGCTTGGCAGCAGCAGTTGGACCTTTCTCTCCTTCCACCCGAATTTTCTCCACATCCTCTGGAATGAAACCATATAAAAGTTCTATAATTAATTGCTTTTTATGGTAGAAATGGATAAACTGACAAGAAAACTTAACAACAAAGAACCAGAAGAGTTCTCTGCAGACTGGATGGACTTTAAAGAATATCTGGAGAAATATTGGGATGTGAAGAACAATTTATTCTGCTTGGACAATTATTAAGAATAGAAAAACTCTGAAATAGTTGAACATATAATAGTTGAATATATGGAGATACACAAAGATAATAGTTAAAGAAAATGTTACCTGTTAAGCTTAGTTTAATTTTAGAAGAAGTGAATAATAGAAAAAGAGGGAAGATTTGGAGGGGGTGGGAACACTGCGGAAAGCCAGAAGAAGAGGAGGGAGGGTAGTGGGAAAAAGGGTATAAAACGAATGAAGAAAAGTTTTAATGTTGGAAAGGTTGTTATATCCTGATAATAAAAGTTAAAAAAAAAGTTCTATAATTAATGAAGTAGACTTGTTCTTCCAAGCAGAGAGATTGGAAATTACAGCAGTTTAGTGTTCTGAATGCTTTTGAGCCAAGACAATTAAGGTTTGCCACGTTTCTAGAAGAAAACCGAATTGCTATTCAAGGGACGATTGAAAGGTACATATCTATGGGGGTGACTTCAAGCTTACTGTAGTGCTAGAAAGTATTTTCTGATTTTGAAACAGAATACACAAGAGATCACAAGAAGTGCTAAAATGGGCCCAATTCATTTGCCTGTTTCCACAAATCTAGGGAAGGAGCCATGGCTCAGTGGTAGAGCATCTGCTTTGTATGCACAAGGTCCTCGGTACAATCCACAGCATCTCCAGTTAAATGGTTCTGGTGGAAAGTGACGTGAAAGACTTCAGACTGCCAACAGCTCCCCAGAGAGAGTAAACAACACTGACCATGGCAGAGCAACAGTCTTGACTCAGTGTATAAGACACCTTCATGTGTCCATGTACGTATCTCACTAGCCCACAGGGACTGGGTTGGATCCAAAGATTGCGATCTGCCCCACCAGACACTGGAACCTTCCTTTGATGCACGGAGCCTTCCAGTGGTATATGGAGGCTTGCTGCATTTGAAGAGGTGTGTGCCACCAGTGGAAGGCAAGAGCTGAAGACATGCTCTTTGTGCTGAAGGCAGGCTCCTTGAACTGGAAGATGGCTCCATTTTAGCCAGACAGAAACTTTGGATCCACCCAATTGTTACTAGCTTACCAACCATATCTATTTATGGTATTCATTGACAATACATCAGTGTGTGTGTGTGTGTGGGGGAATTCCACCACCTCACTTAATTTACAAAGGCAACCATGTCCAATAACCCAGAGATTTTGTCAGATATCAGAAGCTAAGCAGGGCTGGTATTTGGAAGGGAGACCACCAACGAATACTCTACAGAGGAAGGCAATGACAAACCAACCTCTGGTGCTCATTTGCCCAGTTGCCATTTTCATACATAGTAAGGAGGCCATTTACAAGCTTCTATTCTGGGTGTATAGCATTGATTTAAGAATGTAAAGCAAAATAAAAAGCAGGAGGAGACTAGTCCTTTCCTGGTCATCATTGTCCTGTATTTGAATAGAAAAGTCTCAGAACATTAACAGAACTCTGTACATTCATAATTGCTTACAAGAATTTTAGTTCAGGGTCCAGCTTACCTAAGGGACTGCCTTTCCCCATATGTTCCCCCAAGGGCACTACGGTCGGGGGCAAAACATCTTCTGGCTGTCCCAGCCCCTAGAGATGTCAAATATGCTGTGACTAGGGCCAGGGCTTTTTCGGTGGCGGCTCCTATCTGGTGGAACGAGCTCCCGGAGGAGATCAGGGCCCTGCGGGACCTTATGCAGTTCCGCAGGGCCTGCAAGACGGAGCTCTTCCGCCAGGCTTTTGAGTAGGAGCCGCCACCATCACTGTACCACCACCGCGCTGCCATCTCTGGCAATGCGAACTGGCCTTGGGAATGAAGAACGGACATAGTGCAGACCGACCAAGAAGAGACAGTAGAACCTCTGAAACATTGCATTGGAGTCCCCATCTTGGATGATATATTGTTGTGAGCACCGATTTTAAATGTATAATGTAATCTGATTGGTTTATCTGGTTTTAGTGTTATGTATGGCAATTGCCTCTTGTTAGCCACCCTAAGCCCATGGGGAAGGGCGGGATATAAGCCAAATAAATAAATAAATAATCAGAGAAAGAGGAGAAACTGCTTACAGCTGTTACTACCTCAGCACTCAGTCCTTGCACTTCATGGTTTATTTCATTTAGCAGAGATTGACCCAACCCTGTGGCAAAATTGGAATGTTCGGCAAGTACTGGAAAAAAACTAATGAAATATTTTCCCTTTTAGAATGAGTGAAATGAGTTTTAAAACTAGGCAGATGTGATGTAAACAAACATAAACATGCATTTCTGCACCTAAAAGGATACTCAATCTTCATACAGGGAACATGCAGGGCTTTCCTTGCTTCTGTTGTCCTTTTGACATGACTCTTCCTTTATGCTTGAGTCTTGACCATTCCACCTCTCCCTCAAACCATTGTCACACATACACACACAGACTGGATAACAAGTAGCTCATTGCCTGACATTGCTGGGGGAGGGGGGGATCAAAAGGCGGTGGGGCAGAAACTGTCCTAAAGCGTCAGGGGAAAACTCTTAAATTTCATTGTGAGCTGAACTCTAACCAGCAGCCACAGAAGGAAGAACACAGCGTCTAACTGCACCTACTTCTCCCTGTGCGGATATTATTGACCCTTTTCTGTGACCCCCTTCTCTGACCAAATAATATATTTATGTTATTCGCCACAAACCTTGTGTTTTCTGTTCAACTACTAATTTTCTCTACTTTTCAGATAACAAAAAATAAGATACACGTATTAAGATAGCATAGGGGATATCATTTATAATATAAATTCCATAAGTATGTCAAAAATTGCAGTTCTATATGCTAAGCAAGTTATGAATTTTTGTTAAAGCAGCAAAATTAATTTAGGATTGACAGGACAGTAAGTTTTGCATATATTTCAATTTTTCCCCAAATTTCCTTTTTTTCCGGGGGAAGGGGGGGGGGGGCAGGGGAGGTTGTTGATTTTCCTGCAGCTTCAAAATTTTCAGAAATTTTATATCTCTAATAGGGCCTGGTTAGTACTTCGATAAGAGACCTCCAAAGGAAGGCCAGAGTTGCTATGCAGAGGCAAGCAATGGCATACCACCTCTGAATGTTTCTTGCCTTGAAATCCCACGGGGGTTGCCATAAGTCAGCTGTCACTTGACAGCACTTTTAACAACCAGAGATTGCGCAGATGGGTTCAGGAGTCAGCAAATGCTTTGCTAAAGGAGGGACTAGTGTCAAACCTTGAGAAACCCCGATTGGAAGAAGTGCTGTTTGGGCCCAAAGAAGCTCATGAACTATCCTCCAAAAGCAAACATTGACTTTGGGGGCAAGGCAACAACTGGGCAATTCCTGTTTTCTTGGATGGACTGGATTGATCATTTCAATCTGATGTCGTCAGGCCCGGTTTTGCAATTTAAGCTGCCTTGGTCACCCCAATGGCCAAGAAGAGGGTACCCCCTTTTGATTCTCCTGGACATTCTTTGGCTTTTGATAGCATCAGCCATGATACACTTCTGGACCAGCTGGCCAAGATTAGCATAAGGTCTACTCCTGTCTGGCTGATGGTACCAGAAGGTGGAGTTAAGATTCAACTGCTCAGCTCCATTTCATTCCTACTACAAGTCCTACGTGGCTTAGCACTGTCCTTGAGACTGAAGGTCCAGGGGGAAAAGGAAAAGGAAAAAAATATTACACAGTTATCAAGGTGTGTCTCCCACATTTCCAATGGAGAAACTGAACATTTTGGAGAGCACGGGGGGGGGGGAATCCTATGAAGTATTTTCTTTTTTTGAATGAGTGAAATGCTATTGAAGACAATGTGTCCATCAGTCAAAATGTATAGTAAGAATAGGAATGCCAGCCTCCAGGTGGGACCTGGGGATTCTCTGGAATTACAGGTCATCTCCAGACTACAGAGATCAGATCCCCTGGAGAAAACAGATGTTTTGGAGGGTGGGGCACTATTGCATTGTACCCCACTGAGGTCTCTGTCCTCCCTAGAAGTATCACAGACAGGTGCTAAATAAGTATGGCTAAAGATGGCTCATCAAGACTAATGACACTACTGATACCCCTTAAAATAAAGTACATGTCCAGCCAGTGGTATCTTAAACACTAATGAAAATTGTTCCAGCATAAGCTTTCCTAAAGGAGAGTTCCCTTCATCAGATGCATTGAAAAATAAATCCATCACACAGATTTAGATGCCCTATGGAAAGGGGCATGGGATTTTACAAAGAGAACTTAGGTTCAAATCAAGATCCACTCCAAACAGCAAAGGGTCATTCAGCATGAGTGTAGATCCCAGTGGACAGTCATGTTGGTCTGAAGCAGCAAAACAAAGTTTTGAGTCCAGTGGCACCTTTAAGACCAACAGAGTTTTATTCAAGGTATGAGCTTTAGTGGTCTTAAAAGATGACACTTTGTTCTTCAGCATGAGTATAACATTAACAGCTGGTACTAGAGAGGCAAGAGGACACTGCAGGAGGAGATGAGAGAAGCAGAGACGAGACTGTAGGACTTTAGAGAGATGTGGCTGGCTGCAATAGTTAAAATAGACAAGGGGTGGGATCTAAAGTCTCATTGACATATTTGCCTCACAGGATAGAGATAAGGACAAAACAGGAGATGATCCTCTACCCTGTGCTCGAGAGGAAAGTAGATACTTTAACATTAAATAAAAATTTCAATAAATCACAACAATTATGACAAATAAAAACAATAATAGGCACCACACGGACCTGCAGCCTGGACCCCACCGTTCAACCCCAAACACTGCAATGTAGCCAGTGTTAAACCCACCCAAACATCTTCTTTGAGGCTATTGTTAAATTCGGTTGGCACTCCTCCTCCAGGAGCACACAGCTAAGAGTTGCCCTCCAAACCCTCCTACTAGGTAGGCAGACCAGGAGTCGCTCAAGCCTATCCAACGAACCGCAAGCATTTGGACTCAGGTCTTCCCGGTCCGACACTTTATCCATCTCAAGACTCACCGCTCCCGATGGTTACCAAGAGGTGAAGCGAGGAGGCACGCACGGAGCGACAGGCGGCCCTCGCCGACTCGACCGCCCTGCTAAAAGCACGCCGGCCCCCAACTCACCATCAGCGAGCCAGCCCTTCATGTAGCTCAAGATGTAGTTCGGATTCAGCGTCTTCTCTATATAGGAGGCGAAGCTAAGGAGATTCTGCCTCTCCTCCTGGGACATTTTGGATGCTCTCGCCCTTTGCGGCGTCCCCTCCGCTTCAGAAACTCTCGCTGCAACAACAGCCTGGGTGCGGCAGGGGCTTCGGGGGCGACTACTCCCGGGCACAAGGGGCTGTCCAGCCCTTGCCGACGACCCCGACTGACAACTCCCGCCGGCCCGCCGGCCTTTTAGAAGGCGAGATCGGATCCAATGGGTCCATTTCCTGAAAGTCAGCTGACAGGGAGACCCGCAGCGGCAGGAGAAAGGAAACGAAAGTGAAGGAATGGAAACAGAAAGCTGCAAGGCAGGCCCGGCCAGCGACGCCAGAAGCCTATTGTTATGTACACACTGATCCCGCCCTTCCTCCTAGCAGCTGGAAGCGGTGCACGTCCGAATGGGGAAACAGCGCGCTGAGACCCGAGGGCTGGTGTGGTGCCAAGGCGGGAAGGTGTACGATTAGCACTCGGGGATGATGATCGGGTGGGAATCTCCCGCTCGACCGTGGAAGCCTGCCGGGTGATCTTGGGCCCGTCACGGTCTCTCAGCCGGATCTACCCTCACAGGGTCGTCGTTGAACAAGGCTGGAGTCCAGTGGCGTGGCACCTTTGTTCTGCTGTTTCCGACCAACACGGCTGCGCACCTGGATCTATCTTTAGGGTGGGAATTATGTGGAGGAGGAGGGAGTTAGGTGAAGAGTCACTTTGAGTCTGATCAAGGAGATAAAGTGGGATATATATATATATATATATATATATATATATTAAACCAAGCCTCTCTTCCTCCATTTTTATGCTTTTGTTTCTTTTTAAAGGGATGTTTAACTTAAAATCCTGTCGTCTTTGCCGGCCCGCTGCGGCGCTATTTTCCCCTCCTTTCCTAGCGGGACTATCCACCTTTGTTTTCATGGTTGCTCAATAAAAATTAGCCATTAACCAGGCACAAGGCCGATTTTTGCTGAAACGGCTGCTTTTCTAGATTTTGCGACCACCACTCCACCCCCTCCCCCCGGTGAAGGTAAGAACCCTTTACGAAGATCGTCCGCTGGACTTTAGGATAGGTTCAGAGGGTAGCCGTGTTGGTCTGACAACAGAACAACATTTGAGTCCACTGGCACCTTTAAGACTAACAAAGTTTAATTCTGGCCCGGGTATCAGCTTTCCTGTCTGAAGAAGTGTGCAGCCACATGAAAGTTTATACCCAGAATTAAACTTTGTTGGTCTTAAAGGTGCCACTGGACTCAAACTTTGTTAAGATAAATTATTTTCCATTTGAATGGATTCTTTCTGCTGAATGTATTAAATGCTACTATGGGCAGAACATACCACAAGGACAGGGAAAGGGTGTCATTCTAACTTAACTAGCCTACATTACAGGGCTGTTGTAAAGATGATGCATGTGAAATGCTTTGAATACTGAAAGCTCTGTAAAAATGTTAAATATTATAATTACTAATTTCCTAGAGGCAGTTACTCCTTTAACATGACACAATTACCTCTCCCCACAACACACAAACTAAACGGGAAAGTACCTGTCTTTCCAGCAGCAAGCTGAGATCACTATTAACATATCAAAGAAAGGTCACTGACTGGCTATTGGGGGGGGGGGGTTTAGAAAGGAATGAATTTAATGTTCATAAACCTGTCCAAGGTGGATTCTATTTAATTTTCCCTCAACATGATGCTTTTAAAAACTGTACAAGCTGTCACATTATCTCTTGGGGGGGGGGGTTGTATTTCTCGTCATGGCACCTCTGGTGACTGTGTGTGTACCTGGAAGTCATGGTGACCTCTGGTGGCTGACCCCTACTGGGGGCCTGGAGCAGTGTTCCCTCTAAGCTGAGTTAGTGTGAGCTAGCTCACAGTTTTTTAGCCTCCGGCTCACCCATTTTTGTCCTCGCTCAGGAAGGGACGGCTCCAGAGCAGACTAATTTATGCAGTAGCCAAATCACCTGCTCACAACTTTAATGCCAGTAGCTCAGAAAGTAGAATTTGTGCTATTAATGCCAGTAGCTCAGAAAGTAGAATTTGTGCTAACAGGACTCCACAGCTTAGAGGGAACATTGGCCTGGAGGATATTCAGAGAGGTGGCTGAATAAAGCCTGCCCCCACCTCCCGACTGCTGGTATTCCAAGGAGGTCTCCCATCTAAGTACTTGCCAGAGTTGACCCTGCTTACCTTCCGAGATCTGACACAGTCAGGCTTGTCTGGGCTATTGTATAGGATTCCTGCCCCTCACGCCTGTCCAGGAATGAGGGGGAAACCTACACTTTACAATAACTTAAACAATAATACCCAGAGAGGTAGGCTACCCTCTCTGGATTTCTGAACATTTTGCCACCAGGAATCTCTAAACTTAATCCCTCACCAGCCTGAGATTAGAGACTCCAGAATCTCAGTTGGCATCTGGGACTTAATACATTAGCAACTCAATCTAGAGCTGTGCAGTTAATCTTACCAAGGTAGCATAATTTCGTGAGCAGAAGGCACAGGAGTTTAGCCTTGAGATCCCAGTTACAACATCAGACAAGTTAGAAAACCAGAATAAATTTATTCAGTAGAGAACTTAGCACAGACTAGAAGGATTTCAAAACAAGAAAAATTATGGCTCTTGGCCCTCACTAAACATTGAAGAGATATGCATAGTTACCAGGATGATCCATAGTCAAGAAAGTCCAGTGTTATAGTCCAGGTACCCCCAAGGGGGTTTGAGGAGGAACACCCCTCCTTGCCTCATGTGCTCTAAGGCACAAGGGGATCCTTTGTCCTCCAACAGACCACATGGCAGGACAACATTTCAGATGCACAGAACACAGAGCAGCAGAGAGAGCAGGAAGAGAACAGGAACTCTCTTCCAAGGGATCAGACAGTTAAAAAACCCCATCTAGTCACAAGTTAGCCCTGGCCAGGAGCCAATTGGAGTAGACCTAGGAGGGTCCAATTGTTGGGTTGCCATGGGTATAACATCTGAATGGCCAGAGCTCTGAAGGCCACACCTGCAGTCATGTGACCCCCAAATTCCAACCACTCCTCCATGCTGTGCGTGACATGGGCCATGCAGCCTTAAAGCGGGCACCTTGAAGTCTAGCTCTTCCACTTAGAGGTGTGAAGAATGTGTGATTATATGGCATGGCAATTGAGCTTCTCTCACCAAATGCTCAAGCCATTTGGCTTCAACAGGAAATCAACACAGCAGGTTATTCAGCAGGACATTCCAGGGGAAGGCAGGAACCTTTAGAAATCAATATTTCTATACAGCTATCCAGGTCAGAGCAACCTGTGGCATTCTTCATACTATCTTAATTCTATACTTCCAGACTCTAATTTCACCACAGGATTCTCAAGACTGGATTTATGATGTTTTAAATTAACTTTTATTGTGTCCTCCATCTAGGAACTTCGAAGAGGTGAGTTTCCCTTCCCCTTCCCCATTTTCTCCTCATAGCCACTCTTGGCAGAAAGATGGGGCCTAGAAAGACTGGCCGAGCCAAAGTCATGCAGCCAGCTTCAGAAGCAATTTAAACCCAGATCTCATCAGTCCTAGGGCTGTGGTCACTCACCCTAAATAATCCACTTTCAATGCACTTCCCAACTGGATTTTTACTGTGTGAACTGGCAAAATCCAATTCGAAAGTGCATTGACAGTGGATTATTTAGTGTGTGTGACCACAGCTCTAGTGCGACAAGCAACTCATTGTACCGCACGCACAATGAGAACTGGGGTGTAACTCCTAGGCCTGTTCAGTGATGCTGCTCAACAGTCAGTGGAAAAATACCTCCCCTTTTCCACTGCTAGAATCACTTTCTGCTTCCTCCCACTTCCCCTGGACTTCCCATCTCCCCACCCCATTGCCTTCATCCACACATGTCTGCCATAGCCCTAGCTCCACAACCATAGCAGACAGAAACATCAACTCGGCCTTGACTGCTCAGGCCCCGGAGTTGCCAGGTTCAGGTTGGGAAATTCCTGGAGATTGGGGGGGGGGGTTTGGAGTCTGGAGAGAGCAGGCCTTGGGGAGGAGAGGGACTTACAGTGAGGTGTAATGCCATAGAGTCCACCTTCCAAAGTGGCCATTTTCTCCAGGTGAACAGATCTCTGTCACCTGGAGATCAGTTGTAATCGCAGGAGATCCCCAGCCACCCCACCGGAGGTTGCAACCTTAACTGTCCACCTTCCCCTTTAAGTTTGTAATGGCAATGCTTGCTCTCTGAATATGACACCTGCTGCGGGGTAAAACCCAACAGGCTATCAACATTCAGTTTTAAATGGTCCACTGTGCATAAAAAGCAGCTACTTGTTCAACATTAGTGTCCCAGCACACGACCTGCTTGAGCTAGGGATCTGTGGTAGACGGTATACCAGTATTCCTCACATTGCTGTACTAGCTCCACTTCACATGAGATGCTGGAATTGGGTTGCCAGATCCAGGTTGGGAAACTCCTGGAGATTTGGGGATGGAGCCTGAGGAGAACAGGGACCTCAGTGGAGTACAATGACATACAGTTCACCCTCTGAAATATACTGGGTTCAGACGCATATAGTAATCAGCTCATAGTTTATTTGTGTTCTCAGCAAGTAGAAAGAAGAATGGAGATCCCTGACCAAAGCCGGGTATTTATGCATGCAAAAGGTTACACCCCAAACACACCCCACTACCAACGATAGGCTATTTACACTACATTGTTATTCCATTGGTTTACTCTAGGATCCTTGTCTCCCTACTGGTCCATTCTAGGATCCTAGCCAGCTATTGTTATGGATCTTCAAGATCTGTCCGAATTAAGCATAAGCCGAAGTATGGTCTAGGCCCAATACATTACACCCTCCGAAGCATCTTTTTTTTCTGAAGCATCTTTTTTCTTTGGGGAAACTGATCTCTGTCGTCTGGAGATGAGCTGTGATTCCCCAGGTCCCATCTGGAGGCTGGCATCCCTATGCTGGATGGGTGGCAAAGGCCAGCAGGAAATGCCTCCTGCCCTTCCAGCAGTGTGTTAAAAATCAGGCCTTAGTCAATGCTGAGGGAAAGAAAGAATCACACCATATTAAAATGGTGTGGATAAGTCTCAAATGCCTTGGGATACGTTGAAATCTTCCAGAAAGAACTGCCGATGGAAAAGCATCAAATCTGGCTCTGGAGAAAGCCCATCTATGATTTGGGTTGGAGATATTAGCTAAATATTGAGGAGTGGTCATATAAATTTCGGGTTTCAGAAATTTATAGAGCGGCGGAGTTGCGGCGTGAGTCGTTTGCAGCTCAATATCTCTGAGACG